AATTTTATGAGCTCAATCATCATAAATCATCATTCTAAGACATATTTATCTAATGCACAATTTCAATTTAAGGTCCTCAACTATATCAATCCAACAACACATAGGTTAGGTCTTGAAATTCAATCTCACAAATCAACCATCAAGAAGTGGTGAAACTTACCAAGAATCAAGGCCTAAGACTCCTTCAAACAATACCCAAGCAATGGCTCAAGCAATCAACTCCAAGAATACCAAACTCTTCTAAATTTTCATAGCAATGGGTATGAAATTTCTCAAAATCTAGAGGATTTCAAGAGCTAAGAAGGTGTGGGTTGGATTTGTTAGGTGGTTTACTTAAAATTTCATATAGGATCTTAAGGATTTTGGTGGAAGATAGGTGGACAAATCAAGCACACAAGTTTGCCCTCTTCCATGGATGCATTTCGGCCAAGAAGAGAGAGAATGAGGGATGAAGAGAGTGAATAGCAGCTGATGGTATAGGTGGCTTAAGTCACTTAAGTGGGTGGGTTCTACTTTACACCTCACTCAATTCAAATTATTTTAAATCTTCCACTTAAATCACTAATCTCCAATTAATTCACAAACTATTTATAAAATCCAAAATTTTACATTCATCAAAGTCCTTTAATTTCCCTTGAGCAGATGAATCTGGAGTTTTCTGGTCATTCGGTGAAATCACAGTTTTAACCCGATATGTGCTCTGTTGCACGTTTCCCTAAAAATCTTAATCTTCATCAAATTTCATCAATAATCATAATTCTTAGTCCTGTGTACCTTTTCCAACTTATTTTTAAACCTAGAGCTCAAATTTTACTCGACACATATTTCGGTGCAACTGTACTGCTATATTTTTACACGGTAAAACACTATTCATCAAATTTCCTGAAACTTGTCTAACCACTCAATTTTTCATTCTGAATCCTTTTTCAGGGTTAATTTTTCCGTTTGAGACCTTCTACTAATATTTTACTGTTTATAGTTACGTGTTTGTCAATTTACCGTTTTACCCTTTTTACGTATTTTGACTCAGAATTCAGGATTTTCACTAATCTTACCCTTTAATCCTTATTTTAATGATAATTATATGTTTTAAATCTATGAGATGTTATAAACATATCTCACCAAAATTCTTCTTCACTCATTATATGTTCAACAAACTCTTTCAAGTGATAATTTGGCGGATTTATTTATTAAAGCATTGCCTACTTAAAGTTTTGTGGAAATGGCACATAAGATTGGGATGTGTAGACTTATAGATAATAATTAATGTTATTACCAGATGGAGTAAAATATGTGTTGTATTATTTTTTCTTTACCAAGATACATTATTGTAAGGGGAAGTGTTTTTAATGAGACAACTTGTAATACGTATTGTATACTATTTTGCTTTCAATAGATTTTATTTTGTAAGGTTGTAACGAGATACACTATTGTAAGGGGAAGTTCTTTAAATAATATAACCATTGGATGTCCATAAACCCTAAAAGATTTAACCCTAAATTGTAACTCCTGAACAAGAGTGATTCTAGTCATTCATTTTATTGTAATCTATATTGTCTTGAGAGCCTATAAATAAAGGCATGTATAAAGCTTAACGACAACTTAATTCATAAGAACATTAAATATCGTTCATATTAGTTATTTTTAAAAAATTAATTTTTGTAGTGTCTAAAAATTAATAAAACTAATATTTATAATTTTAAAAACTAAAATGATGTTCTTGATTTTTTTCCTTTTAATAACTATGTGTGAGCTTACAATTTTAGTTAATTACAAATCTCGTTATCTATCGTGATATACTAACAGTTTCTAACTAGGAGTAATTGATTTTTATCGGCGAGAATTGTTGGGAAAGAATAATCACACACAATCGTAAAATAGAAAAGAGAGAATAGAAGAAAAATATAGACACCGATTTACCTTAGTTCACCCGATGTGGGCTACATCCCATAATATTTCACTATAATTTTCTCACCGCACTCGTTGCAAAGCACTATATATGTTCACAAGGGTAATATGAATAGGCTTAGAAACCCTATATAGCAATAGTTATTCATGAGCACAAGGCTAAACTACTAAAAAGATTAAAAAAAAATAAAATAAACTAGAGGCCCACAACAGTACAAGGCCTCCACGATCCTCGTGGTATTGCCCCCAGAACCCCAACCGAGTAGGAAACTTGTTGGCTTTCTTTACGTCCCGCCAACAAGAGTCATTATTTGAATGCGAAGTATAAGTCATAACCAACATTCTCCCACTTGGTGAATGCTTCTTCAATCCCAATGCAACTATAGACCAATCAAACTTCTTTGAACTCACTGTCTTGATCAGAAAGTCAACACTTTCACCTTTGTGTCGATTTTCTCTAGCACTACAATCTTTTCTTCTATTTTCTCTTTGATAAAGTTATTTTGTATGCTTAGGTGCTTGGTCCTTGCATGAAAGCTTGGGTTCTTAGCCAAGAAGGCATCACTCTGATTATCACACCCAATGATCACCTTTCCTTTTGTAAAACCAAGCTCTTTAAACAATCTATGCAACCAAATAACCTCCTTGACAACATTTGTCAAGGCCATGTACTCATCCTCTGTAGTAGATAAAGAAATCATGCTCTGTCTCTTACTCATCAATTGATAGGTCTAGTGAATAAGGGAGCAATATATCCACTCGTAGACCTTCTACTATCAATGTCACTTCCCCAATCAACATCCACAAAGCACTCAACTCTAATGATGATTGCCCCCTTGAGACCTTCATGCCTTCATAGCATAACCCGATGTCAGATGTAACACGAAGATAATGTAATACACTATTCATTGCCATCTAATGCTCCTTTTCGTGGCTTGGACAAATACCTGCTCAATACTCTCACTGCTTGAGCAATACCAGGATAAGTACAAATTATAATATACATCAAATTCCCAACTGCACTAGCATAAGGAACTAGCACCATCTCTTCTTTTCTTCTTTAGTACTCTTGGGACACTGATCAACAGATAACTTCAAACCTGTAGACATAAGAGTCAACATGGTTTGCAGTTAGTCATATTAAATTTCTTCAAAACATCCTCTATGTACTTCCATTGACTCAACCATAACCTTCCTTTATCCCGTTCTATCTTGATCTGTATGACTATGATCACATTTGCGTAGCCTAAATCTTTCATTTCAAACTGCCTTGCCAACGCTCCTTAGACAGTGCATATCATATTCAAACTGCTCTTAACAAGTAACGTGTCATCAAAATTTTGAATAACAAAGTCACCTTCTAGCCTTTTCACATAAACATAGTGATCAACTTCACCACAATCAAAGACAAAGTTAAAACATAAGTGTCAAACTCCATGTACAACATTCTGGGGGACTACTTTTGGCTATACAGGGACTTATTCAACTTGTAGACTAAGTCCTGTTTACCTCTTACTACAAACCTCTCTGGCTACTTATGCAAATAACCTCCTCCAAATCACCATAAAGGAATGCAATCTTCATATCTAGTTGTTCCACCTCTAGATTATATGCAGCTATCACAAATAAAATGACTTTTATGGAATTTAACTTTGCAACAGGTGAAAACACCTCATCGTAATCAACCCCTTCTGCTTGTGAATATCCTTTTGCAATCAAATGGGCTTTCTCTATGTCTCGCCAACAAGAGTCGTCATCTAAATATGAAATATGAGCCGTACCCAAGGTTGTCAAACTCGCGATTTTACGTAAAATCGTGAGGGGATAGTAAAATCGTAAATCGTAAAATCGCCACGAATCGTAAGTTTTTACTTTTAAAAATATATAATAAATATAATAATATCCAACTAACAATATAAATAAAAAGACACAAACTTATAACAAAAAATTTAGAGACTAAGTGCTTAGAGCACAAAGTTCATCAAATTCTCAAAGTTAGCATCGTCGTCGTCATCTCCCACGACAACTTGTACTTGTTCTTCAACCATTTCTACTTCCAAGTTTACAACCATGTTTTCTCCACTCTGGATTCCCACCATGTTTTCTTCAATTTGAGTTTCTAAATCCAAGTTTTCCTCTTGGGCCAAATCGTTTTTTTGTCCAATTTTTTTTTTTGCCATCACTGCCCATGAATCGCTAACTCGTCCTAAATCGTACGAGTTTGCGATTTTGCACAGTAAAATTGCGATTTTAACGAGTTTACTCAGAATTTCGATTTTACTACCGATTTAACTCGCCAAACAAAGTAAACTCGTAAAATCGTACGATTTTACGAGTTAACTCGCGATTTTGATAACCATGGCCGTACCCAACTTAATCATGGATTTAGATAGGAAAAAAAAATCATGGGATAAGTGATAAAAGAAATCCATATGGGAATAAATAATTGTAGAGTGTTTGATCCCAGTGGATTAGAGTTGTTGTAGAATCTGCAAGCGAGGTGTTTATGGAGAAAACAACCGCATGTGGTAGTAGATCGTTGTGCACAAACAAGAGGTTGATAGCCAATCGGGGTGTGTGTGCACAGTGATGAATGAGGTTAGGGTTTCGAGAAATATATGTGCGAGGTTAACCTTTATTTATAAGGTATAATGTTTCTCATGTTGTGGGAGATAATTTTATCTCCTACACACATATAAAAGTGTGTGGAGCTCATATAGGATCGTATGAAGAGAAGAGAAAGAAAGAGAAAATATGAGCTCTATACACTTTTATGTGTGTGTAGGAATTAGGAAATAATTTTATTTTTTACAACATAAGAGACATTAAATCCTTATTTAATGGGTTTTACCTCGAGGTAGATTAAGTTCATTTCCCATGGCTAAGAAGGAGGCAATTATAAGGGTCTAGAACTTAAGAGAAAATCTTTATTTTTTTTATTACATAACCGTCATTCTGAATTAATTAACTCAATTGATTAATATAAAAAATGAAATTAAGAAAAGAAAGGTAAAAATATAGACTATTCCTATAAATACTAATGGATATAAATACTCTCACAATACGAGGTGAATCTTTACCATCCAAATACAAGGTCTTGCAAGAATATGGGCATGTAATGCAAAACTATATATTTTCGTTTATTGATTTCCTTGTGAATTTGCAGAAACAAAATCAAACATGACTACGCACCGAAATCCCTTCAAACCTCAAACTCTTTTCCTCGTTTTATTTGCATTAGTTCCTTTGATTTGCATGGTCATAGCCGATTCCACTGTCGAACCCCTTGTTTCTCACGCTTTCTCTTCTGCTGAAGTTCATATCATCTACACTGAGAAGCCCAACGACGAGGACATTGAAGCTTTCCACATCCAAATCCTCTCCGCTGTTCTTGGCAGGTGCTTGATTCTCTTTTTTTCTGTTTGTTTCCCGAGAAAATTGTGGCTATTAATGGAGGGTTTGAATATATATATATATTTTTTCTTCTCTCTTTTATTATTATTATTATTATTTGATAATTGGGTGATTGATTATGATTGCAGTGAGGAGGCAGCAAAGAAGGCTATGTTGTATAGTTACAAGTCTGCAGCTTGTGCATTCTCCGCTAAGCTTACTCCGGAGCAGGTTGCTCAGATATCAAGTAAGTATTTTTTTTTTTTTTTTTTTTTTTGGACACCCTTTTGGTTAATGATTTTTTTTCATTTTTTAAATTCGCTGATGTAATATGGTTCTTTTGTTATTGTTTGTATGTGCATCTAACCAATTTTTTTTTTGTTTCTTTTTGGGATGATTGTCATTTATATTCTCTGTAATATGGTTCTTTTATGTTATTTTATTTTTCGCCCATCTGGTTAATGGTTTTCTATCCTTTTGAAACTCCCTAATGATTAAGTGTATATATATATATATATATATATATATATATATATATATATATATATATATATATATATATATCTGTTTTGTTGTGCTTTATTTGCTATTTTTTTTTTCATTTTTAAAATATGCTTCCCCTTTTTAATAGTTGATGCTTGATGTTATAATGTTTGCTATTTTACATTTGCAGAGCTACCAGGTGTTCGTCAAGTTGTTCCTAGCCGGATGTATCTGCTCAATTCAGGATCAGATGGTCCGCAGTAGAGGATGTTCTGTATGGGTTTCATACTGTTGTCTATTACCATGTATAATTTGGCCAAGCCTACATTTATAATATATGATAATAGAGAAGGAATCTTTTCACTCTATTTTAAGATTAAAAAGTTTCACATCTCATTTCAATGTTGATTTTTGTTTATAATTTATTGAGTTATACTAATTAAATTAATTATTAATTTCAAATAAATTACAGTTATTAGATGGACAGAAATCAAAGACTAAGACAAAAAATAAGACTTGTTAATTTTATACTAGAATAAAAATATCCCTCCTGGTTTACCAAAAAAAAAAGAAAGAAAGATAGGTTATTCTATCTATTTTTTTTCTGTCTATTTTTGTCTACCACTCTCCAACACTGTTAGATCAAAATATAAAGAGGAGAGAGAAATCTAAAGAGGTGAGTGCAAGTATCTCGCTAGACTGCCCAACGAGAATGGTGTGTATATGACACATGGATGACATGCAGCAGGTGGTTGTACAATGCCTACAATTCTCGATCAGCAGCCTAGCAAGAATGGCAGGTGCTGACACATGGCTAAAAGTATAGCCTTTCTCGCTCGGCAGCCTAGTGTGAATAGCCACATGGATAGCTTTTGCAGATGTGGCAGTGTGCCACATTGACCAGTCATTCTCGCTACATAGATGGGTGAGATTGGTGCATCGCAAGAGCCTGCCGCGTGTCCAATCCATTCTTGCTTGTTGGCGTAGCGAGAATGTGACGTGAAATTTGATTACAACGTGGCATACCAGTAATTACTATTTATAAGGGTGGTATACTAGTCAATGTCTTAGAGAAGTTAGAGAAGACCGGTTAAGGCCGTAGAGATACAATAGGGTTGCAATTAGTGTTTAAAAACTTGGCTCAGCCAACGACTCGACCGAGGTCAGGGGTCACGGGGTCATGAGTTCAATCGGGGGGTCATGGGGTTACTTCGCTGACCCGATTTTATATATTAAAAAATATAAATATATAACCTATATGAAAAATTTTAAAAAATCAAACCACCAATTATCAAAGATTCAAAATATACTTAACATAATTCAACCAGTTACATCCACAAGTCAATATTACACAAGGTAATCAAAGTATCAAAGTATAAAACATATATTTCAATGGAGTTAGTGAATAGTTATATCATCAAACTTAGGTCCTCCTGTCCTTCTCACGCATCTACAACAGCATGTGAAAGGATATCCCTTACCCAATAGAGAATGGTGGAGGAGAGGCGGCAGTGCCACGAATCAATAGTGGGGAGAGAAGAACCAGCATGGTGGAGAAGACCGAAGATAATAGGAGGAACTGACACCATGGCGGAGGAGATCACTGGATCAGGGAGACTAGGTATGAGTTTGGGAGAGAAGATCAGAAGACAAGAAGAAAAACGTTTCAGATTTCAAATTTAGTTCTAGATCTAGGCAGCAACGAGTTTTTGTTTTGTTTTATTTTATTTTATTTTATTTTTTTACACATCAAACGACGTCTTTTCGTGTCTAATTCTTTTTTTTTTTAATGTAATGACCCCCCTCGTACCCCTTTGACCCGAGAGTCACGGTTCAACCGAGAATTTCGGGAGTCAACGTGCATGCAGAGTCTAACTACTGACCACAACCCTCAGAGAGAGGGGATCAGTGACCCAGTAGGGTCGACCCCAGGATGGGGCGGGATTTTAAAACACTGGTTGCAATACGTAAGGATAAAAAACAATTGAGTTTTTTTAAAATTTGCAATAAAAAGTATCGTGTTTAATTAAAAAGTAAAATTTGAAATTTGAAACTTAAATTAGAGTTAAGAGCTTGGCTTGGTCGTTTATTTTTTCAATATGTTTAATTAAAAATTGTTTTTGTAAAAATTATAATGATAAAATACAGTTTTTTCAAAGTTAAAAACTTAAAAAAATATGTAATACTTTTAAAAGTTAATATTTCCTGGCTCCGTCATTTATTTTCGTCTTTCATTCACGTTGTGAGGCTGCTATTTTGCATATTCCGAAATTCCTTTGAATTTAACCACTATATAATACTCATCAAAGTTTACAAGGAATCATGCTACTGTAGCATCTCCCTTCTATTTATTGTCCTCTTATTAATATTTCTAACTTTTAAGGTTAACATCAATTTCTCAGCTCCACTTTCATTCTTCCATGATGTTTACTTTTTTGGATAGGTTATTCTGCCTACTCTTATTTTGCCTATCCCTTTCAATACCGTTCGATTATATTCTCATCCAACGATAGATATTTGCGGAATAAAATAAACCATTTTCCCCCTTTTCTTTCTCTCTCTTCCCTTGGTTGAATTTCCTCTCCTTTACTTTTTGTGTGGAAAAATAATTCCTTTCAGACAGTTAAAGAACTACTAGTGTGGTGTTAATATTGGGGGGTTTCTGAATTTCGTGTTTGATTGGAGTTTACTACTTTAGAATTTGGTCTGTTTGAAATTGTGTGTTTTTGGATTCATGGTCTCTGCTTTAAGAAACAGGTTATAAGATAGAATTGGGTGCGTGCCTATTATAAGGTATCATAAGCTAAGAGAGAAGGAAGAAAGAGATCTCGATTGTAAACTGAATTGTGAAATCTTTTATACAAGCTTACTGTTACATATTGATATATATACATAAAGCTAAACAGATTGTAACTAACTAAGCTATATTTACGGAAACTAGTTAATGACAGTTAACAGTTAATACTGTTATACTTTCAACCCCCCCACAAACTCATACTTGAAGGAATGAAGAGTGAGTTTGTTTCTGAAGTCAGTAAACTTGGAACTAGATACAACCTTTGTTAAACCATCTGCAACTTGCTCAACAGAAGGAATGTGATACATAACAATGGAACCATTGTATCATCTCTCGAACAAAGTATAAGTCAAGCTCAAAATGTTTTGTCCGAGAATGGAATAGAGGATTTCAGTAAGGAGAACTGCACTAAGATTATCACAAAAGACTTGCGGAGTTTTGATAGTATCAATCTTTAACTCAATGAGTAAGGATCGAATCCAAGTCAGTTCAGCTATTGTGGTTGCTAAGCATCTGTATTCTGCCTCTGTGCTTGATCGACTAACTACTACTTGTTTCTTTGATGACCATGATACTATATTCCCCCTAGAAAGACGCAAAAACCAGAAGTTGAGCGTCTATCATCAACATCCGAACCCCAATCTGAATCACATCAAGCTACCAATTGTGGCTGAGGAGAAGGTTTAATGGTTAAACCAGTATCAGACGTGCCATAAAGATAACGCAGAATTCGCTTGACAGCTTTCCAATGAGAGTCCAAAGGAGAATGCATGAATTGGCATACTTTGTTGACTGAGAAGGTGATGTCTGGACGTGTGATTGTAACATATTGAAGAGCTCCTAAACGGATCGATAGAGAGAAGGGTTGTCGAATGGAAATCCATCATGTATGGAGAGTCTTGAGCTGGAAACTATTGGAGTTGGTAGTGATTTGCAGTGAGTAAGACCTGCTTTGGAGAGCAAATCAGTGATATATTTGGACTGAGACAAATGAAGTGATCCATCAGGTAATGACTTGGCTTCAATGCCCAGAAAATAGTGAAGAGTTCCAAGATCCTTCAGAGAGAATGCAACATTGAGAGATTGAATGAGGGAAGAAATAACATGAGTAGAAGATCCAGTGATCAATATATCATCAACATAGATGAGTACATAAGTAATGGCAGAGTTCTTAAAAGAAACAAACAGTGAAGAGTCACATTTTGTAGCTTGAAACCCAAGATGATAGAGTGTGGTGCTGAGCTTTTCAAACCAAGCTCTTGGGGCTTGTTTTAAGCCATATAGAGCTTTGTCCAATCAACAAACAAGACTAGAGTTGCTAGAGATGAAACCTGGTGGTTGTTCCATGAACACTTCCTCATGTAATTCACCATTGAGGAATGCATTATTTACATCAATTTGTCTTATAGGCCAGCCATGGGAAACAACAAGTGTGAGAATGATGCGAATGGTCACCGGCTTGACCACTGGACTAAATGTTTCAGTATATTCAAAACCTTCACGTTGGTGGAATCCCTTTGCAACTAATCTTTCTTTGTATTTGAGGATTAATCCATCTGGGTTGTACTTGACACAAAAAACCCATTTGCAACCAATGGATTTTCTATCAGTAGGAAGGTTTATAAGAGTCCAGGTTTTGTTTTTCATGAGAGCTGCATATTCCTCCTTCATAGCATGAAACCAGTGAGGTTGTGTCAGAGCTTGGGCTACACTGGTTGGTTCTAAGGATGCTTGAAACACACGAGGCTTGAAAACTCCTGCCTTTGCTCTAGTAACCATAGAATGTTGATTCGGCAGAGGTGCTGCTGTAGAGGGTGGTGGTGCTGAGAGCACTGCAACATAAGTTGGAGAAGCTATACGTGCAAAATCATTAGTGAACCTGCAAGGAGAACTCGAAGTAGATTGCATAGTAGGTGAATTATGGTTAGTAGAATCAGTGTTAATTGTAACATGTGAATCACTCAATGGAGGAATAGTGGGAATTATTGGAACAATGTTTATAGGAGAGACAGAAGGGGAGTTTGGTGGAGATGAATGGCCAGATATTTGTTTAAAAGGGAACTTGTTTTCATCAAAGATAACATGAGGAGTGATTATTATTTTTCCACTTGATGTAAGGCATTTATAACCTTTGTGACAGGGACTGTAGCCAAGAAAGGTACACAATGCAGATTTGTAATCAAGTTTATGGGCATTATATGGTCTTAGGTAAGGATAACAGGCACATCCAAATATTTTTAAGGGACTGTAGTTTGGTTGTTTTCCAAACAGTAACTGATATGGAGATACATTACCAAGACTTTGGGATGGAAGGATATTAATGATGAATGAGGCTGTTACAAATGCATCTTCCCAGAACTTTTGTGGTAAGGAAGAATTAGCTAGAATGGTTAGACCTGTTTCTACAACATGTCTATGTTTACGTTCGGGAGTGCCATTTTGCTGATGGACATATAGGCATGAAAGTCAATGAATGATGCCATGGGTTTGAAGAAAAGGTTTGAGGGCTAAGTACTCTTTTGCATTGCC